GGTCGGTTTATTTGTCCCCGGGTTTGTAGCTCAATTCTTCAAACTATTGCATGTATCCGTGTTTCACCGTCATGTAACGTAAGCTAAGCGTGCACTGTATTGTGTCAGTAAGCTTATAAACGAAAAGCTCGAACAAATTCAGGATGCAAGAAACATAACTTTGACGACACAGAACGGATCTTTAAGATTCTCGAAGTAACACAACAGCAGTCTCTGGCGACGCTGGACAAAGCTACCGTAAATATGATCCGTGGTAACAAGCCACATTTAAACTTAACACAGTTTTAATCTAACAACCGGGCCCGGCGGCACAATATAGAATGCAAGTAATCAACATGATCACCGACTTTGTCTCTCCAGAGCGAATAATTAAAGAGATACAACAAACGTTTCTGCAATAGAAATGGGGCAAGGCAAACCACACTTTACTTGGCACATGGCGAATTACAGAGGTGTCAAACTCTACAAAGCGATAGATAACAGCTGAAACCATGCAGAGCTCTGACCTCTAACAGTCCAATGGCTCTACTCAACTTTTAAAAACAGTCATCCTAATAACACAACATTAAGTGCCCTTCAGAAACAAGTGAAGAGCAAAATAAAAGGTTGAGAGGCTGGAATTTATAAAAAAAACGGCAAATGTAGAAATATCACGAGCCGTAGGAGTCCTTAGGCCTGTAACCCGAATCAAACACATTTTGTTTTTACTCGCGTCTGACGTCACGTGGCTTAAAGCAACCAATCAGTAAAAACCGTTCGCCAGGCATAAACAATGGTGTGATTACAGGCGGATTTTCCTCGCCTGGCGCTTCGCGCTCGTTTTCGCCCTTCGGTAAAATTATATTCTTTTTTGCTGACTGCTTTGCTAAGGCGACAGAAGCTGTTAACCCCAAAACGACCTACTGAAATTCCGGCGAATTAATCGGGTATCAAATGCGATCGTTGATGCAAAATAACTGTGCAGTGTTAATCACAAAGCATCAATCTCTCAAAGCGTGTCAACATTCTCTTTCATTTCTATTGGGTATCTTTTTATATATCTGTCAAGTTCCACTATCGAAAAATTCGCGTAACGTGTTGCGTTAGAGACCGCCACGTGAAAAGTATTTGAAATAAAAGAATTCGCCGACACGTTTTTTTTCCGTATCTATCAGTGAATGTTCTGGCCAAATTTCAAGGAAAACCGTCGATTCTACATACCTTATTAATTCGTTTAAAGAGGAGGGATTCTCTCGAAAAACGAGCAAGTTTTCGCCTTCTAAAGATTTATAAACATATCACGCCTTCTCAGAGGGATATGTCAACTCAAAATGCCGCCAGCCAATGAAATAACAGAACCCCTAACGTTCACAGTAAGGAACGTTGAGCTTCGCGGAAAAGCGATAGTGTTACAGTCACGTTTTGGGCGTATACGTTTTAGGCCGGTGGTCAACAATAAAGGGCAAAACGGAGAAAAGCGATGTGCAACAAAACAAAAAGAAACTGAGGAGCAATTGCTGAAGCGTGATTACAGAAAGGCACTCTTGACGGACGTGAAATCTCAAATTGAAAGTATTTGAAAAGGTCGCTGAGGAGTCCATGCCTTTTGGGGATTATGACACCTTGAAGGTTTATTAACTTTTATTAAAAAACCTCTTTTTCCCAATAACTCGCGCGCGTTTTAATATTTTATTTTCACTTTTTGGAAAATGTTACCTTAAATAATGAACTTTAATTTGGTTGGAAAAAGGAAAATTTGGAAAAAGTAGCCCCGCGAAGGTTTGGAGTAACCTTAACGTGTTCACAAACTGAAACAATGTACAAATCTAATACTACATGATGAAAACTATACATCCTTTGTTGTCTCATTACTCGTCCACGAAATCGGGGGGAGGGGAGGAGGGCGCTTATTCGAGGGGGCACTTATTTTAAATTTCGGCCGATAGGAGGGGCGCTTATTCGAAGGGGCGCTTATTCGAGTCGGAGCGCTAATTCGAGGATTTACTAGTGGACTAATGCAAATCCTGCATTTTAATTGGCCACGCTACTAGAGTACTATAAAAGTCCTCGAGTGGCGAAATTGGCGCAATCGAGCGTGACGCTTTCTTTCGTTTTATTTCCAAATAAATATTTCTTCAACTTGCATTTGCTAACTTTATTATTGCTTTTCTGTCCGACTTCGCCTCATGGGCTATTGACCCGTAGCCCGCAAGGGCTACGGGTCTAATTGTTAAATATAAATTCTTGATTTAAAATATTTTAAATAGTGTGGAATTTAGAACTGAGACATCTTGAGACTTTCTGCCGAAAAATAATGTCAGGAGGAGCAGCGTGGTCGAATGGTTTAGAGAGCTGGTGTTGTAATCCCGAGGTCTCGGGATCAAGGCCTCCACCCTGCCACAAGCGGGATTTGTTTCTCGGTAGTCCCGAGTTCAAATCCTCGGTCACGCTTTGTAAATAGCCAACTTGTCTGCCTCCTGCCAGTTGGGATTTTTAACATTTTTAACTATGTTACGTTTATTTGAAATATTTGTTTTCTTGTTTCAGTGGCGTGCCTGTAAACTAGCCGAACTTAGTGCTTGTATAGCTAAGCACATGTCCACTATAAAGAGGATTTACATTTTACATTTTTTTTACAAATAAGATTTACATCACGAAATAAAATCGTCACTAAACTGTCTTTGGTGTTCAGTCTCTCAGTTTCATCACAATAAATAAGGCATACTGCAGAGCGAATACTCTATCGTAAATATTCCTCCAGGATTTCTCGTCTGCCTGTATTCACAGGATTAGTTGAATATGTCGCGAATAGACCATTTTACTGTTGCCTGTTCAGTGACCTGGCCTTTGAATGGCAGCGAGGCTGTGTTGACCTCGTTTTGATACAGACCTCACCGCTTTTGTTGTGTAAAACACGTTGTTCTTATGCCAGAATGAGAAAAGGAGAGAGGTATCAAGGTCACCTCGAACCTTGCTTACATTCATAAGCCAGGTAACAAAGCACACAACTGTAAAATGGCCTTTTCTTACAATTGAATATGTTTTCGACATTGAAACGTTCTGTGTCGATAAAAGAGGACACGATTATAAAGAAAACGAGGCGCGTGACTACTGCCTTTTCTTCTACAGCTGTTTTGAGAAAGGTTGCCCCAGGGCAAAAAAGTCGAAGAGTATTATGGGCAATGGTTTACGGTTGCTTGATTGAAGCCGCAAGGTGTGTCAGCGTGATGGAATGACACAGCACAAGCACTCCTGCTTCCCTCAGTTCCTTCTTGCTGAAACAAACTCAATCAAGCAACGATAAGTATCAATCGGCCTTGTGGCCTACGATTACGTTTTGTGGGACAAACTTTGTCGAAATAGTTGTATACGAGCGTGGTAAGTTAGGTAAGTTATACATGCATGTGCCTGCTCTGCATGTACAGAGCTCTGGTGTCGGTCTTACCAAGGCGCAGAAAAGAATGGGATTCTTCTCTGAGCCCTGGTCTTACGAGAGCCAGAAATTGCGGTGCGCATGATCTTAGCGTCGTCGGCAGTACGTATCTCGTCAAGAAGAGAAGACAAGGCCTGCGTTATGTCTGGTTTTATAAGTAGACGCCAGGGTCCGGGATCGTAACTCAGTTCCGCATCGTTGTTTCACCAGTAGCTTGGGTAGATCAGGATGAACCAGGCTTAGCCATGTAAGGACGATAAAATTCTCTGAGGTGGGGGTGAGTTCCTCGTTCTCAGTGGGGACTTCGCCATGGTGGGACAGTGCCCTCTACGAAGGCCATGAGGCATTGAAAGAAATCTTCGGGTCGTTCACCAGTTTCTAAATGCAGGTTCGCAAAATCAAGAAAGTGGGCCCCTGTCACTTGGAAGCCTCTATGCTCGCGAGTCATGTTCCAAACTGTTTGGATTGAAGTTGAGTTCTTCACCAGTGAGGACCTTGTATTACGGAGCAATTGTTAGCGATTTTGCCTAAGCATAAATTCCAGGAAATTAACTTTCTGTTGGGCCATTCAATTCGACGTCCTCGTTCCGGAAGTTTCTTCGTCGTCCGTGAAACCGCGAAGGGGTTAGGCCCTTGTCTTTTTGCCCCACGTAGCGGTTTCAACAAGGAATGACGCTAACTTACTGTCGAGCGACAAAGTTTACATCAAGTTTCGTCTCCAGTTTTCGAAGCTATTGGTAATCTCATTCTTGGTGAGGCCCCACTGCTTTGGAGCTCTGTGAGTGTTGGCCATGATGTAAGTTGCTGTGAGTTCTAAGGAATCGTGCTTTACACGACGAATTTTCGACGTGTCAACCAGTTTGTCGGCGTAGATTCGAAATCACCGCCACCACGGCAGTAGAGGGGATTGGTAGATGGACAACACGGTTCGTAACGCCATAACAGATCACACAAGGTACATAGAAATTTTATAACGCAACTAAATGACCCTTAGAATCAGAGATTAACCAGAGTCGTGCCGAAATGAGAGCTAACCACAAGCAAGCTGGAGCGAAAGCTTGCCGGTCTTTTGCTGGAGAATCCTGACTCGAAATCCTGACTCGTGATTTATGACTTTGAAGAATACATGTATGTATCCTCATTTTAAAGGACTAAAAGAGTAGTAATATCCGTAAATTAATTCCCTACCTTCTACTACTCCAGCAAATGTCGTGAATTTGTAAATTGAGTATAAATTTTTCTTGCATACGAATGTTTTTCACTGCTTTTGTTTAATTCGTGTAGTTTGGGATCATTCAAACTCAAAACAGAAGGCCAAACTATATACAGAACCTCACCGCAAAGTTACAAAACTCAAATCAAAATTCTCGCTTATCCTGGGTTAGCCTCATTGGGCTTTGAACAACTCGACCCTGGGGTTTATCGTGCTCCTCGACAAACTATACATCCTGTAACATCCTAGGTACCCAGCTTGCATAATTGGGAGGACAATCCATAACAACTTTATCTTAACAACCCAAAGAACACAACTCGCGACCTTTCGATTTAAGCGTTCATTAGGACAAGATACTGCATGCAACACTTTATTTCTTTTATTTTTATTCATTTTTTGTGTGGTTTTTCTTACAACAGAATGTTTATATAGTTACAAAATCGTTCTCCGAGACAAAGCGCCCTTACAATCATCAATATTTTACAAAAATAATTAATTAATACAACACAATAATGCTGTCTATAAAACTCAAAGAGCAATATTGATATCAACACGAGAGCTATTTCACACGGAACAAGACACAAAACACCTCTCCATTTCTTTGCTGCAGTTTCAGTTTGGTGTATAACAGATCGTTACCACACAAACGTTACAGCGCATATGGAGTGAATATTCTCTTGATGAACATTAAATCTATAAAATCTAGGTAATCGCCTTATGTTACCAACAAGGATAGATATACACACCATCACTTAAAAGATTGCACCGCCATGCTGAGAGAATTTTAGTTACCTGGAACATAAACTACATACGATTGTACATAAACAATTACATTTCAGGGTACTTCAATCAACGGATAACCGCAATGAACCTCTTTACTCAAGAATAGCATTCGAACGATTTCTCATTGATAACTCCTTACGGCCAATGGCACTTTTTTTATATTGTGCGGTTTATGTCATACTGAAAAATCGCCAGGTGGCACTTTTTCACAAACGAACTGATCCAGTTACTTTGTTTGCTGTGTTGTTTGGATGAAATAACCTGTTCATAATTGAGTCACATGTCGCTATAACAAGCTATCAATCTGTATTAGCAGCTAATAAGCAGTGGCTCTCCTACACTGCACACTGCGTTCATGTCGTTTCCAAACAGCCCGTACAATACAAATCCACTAAAGAGTTAATAGACTATTTGAATTTTTTCAGGATTTTCTTTTCTCGCCGAGACTGATTTTAAGTCTTAAATAAATGAAGACCGTCACATGACGTATCTTTGTTAACACTTCGACCCAGAGACGAGTGGGACTGGACGCTACCGACTCTTGCTACTCTCTTTTCCAGTTCCCTTGTTGCCGCTGTATGTCTGCTGGTATCCATAAGTGGTTGTCGGAGTTGGAGTTTGATCCTGGTGCTGCTGATAGTAACCGTACTGTGGAAATTGTTGGTAGCCCTGTTGCGTCGGTGTCTGCTGTGTCGGGGTTTGCTGTGTAGGTGTTTGTTGAAGCTGAGCTCGCTGTTTGTTTTGACGCTGTATGTGCTGGGCTGCGGCGGCGCCCCACTGCGCAGGCGTGAGCTGTGTGCTTGTTGCCTTCTTTTGCGTGTCCTGCTGTTGTTGTTGCCTAGCAACTGCGGCCAGTGCTGAGTAAACCTTGGGGTCGGCGGTGATTCCCCGGGGGAAATGTTGTTGAAGCTGAGGTAAAAGTCGAGCGGGATCAACATCAGAGTTAATGGAGGGGGTACCCCCTGGGGTGTAGGGTGTGTTGCTTTCGGACATGGAGTGAGGCATTCTGTGGCGAGGAGTACCTGAAAAATCAAATTTTATTTAATGATCAAGAAAGCGCTTTTCTAAACAAACCAACAAACAATTGAACGAACAAACAAAAAAGCTGTTGACAGAACACATACCAGGTATGGGGTCCCTGAAATGCTCCTTAAACCATCTAAACAGACCATTTAACGTGGCATGCACTCTTCCTCGATACCGGAATCCGTCCGGGGTCACACTGATGTACTCTACCCGGGGCTTGACACGGGGAAGATACCCCAGGAAGAACTTCCCCGGGAACTCCTTGCATGTGCTCAGAAGGTACGGAATTCTCTGTGGGGCTTTCTTTTTCTCCACATGAAGAACTTCTTCCAGCTTGGATTTGACTCCGTCCACTGCTCTGTAGTTCTTGTGGTTAAGAATTTCCCGAGCAAATGACGCCATCGGTTGAACATGTCGCGCAATGATTTCATCGAGATCTTCAAATTCCTACAAAGTCAAAACAACAAAGTCTCCTTGTATCATGAGGACAACATTTCCGTGATTTTTATTACATGGTATAATCTGTTATCGTAAAACGAAGTCAATCTATAGTGATAAACTTTAGTTCGCGTACCTGTTATCACGATGATACCAGTTACTTATATTTGGAGTTGTGTTTGAAAAGAGTTGTAATTACTTCATGTCAGGTATTAAATGTGGGCTGCCCTGTTTCCATGTTGTTAGAAATGAAGTAACATTCTCAAGTACAAACAACTGTTTACTGCTGTAAGATTAGTGACAATGCTTGAGTTTGGCTTTCTTGTCTGCAGTTTGGAATACATTACAAATAATGCCTTACGAGAAAGCTGTGTTTTCTTGCGTACCTCGCTGTCAATCCAGAGTGATCGTCCAAGGCTGAACGCGTTTTCTTTTCCTTCTTCACGCACGTCCACATGCTGGTAAACTCCTTCATCAACCTTCCACGTGACAGTAAGGTGATCGGCGCCCTTGAGAAACAAATGATATGACTCGATATACTTAAACTTAAGACACAAGAGTTTTTCAAAATTTAATTCCAGAAATACGCTCGCACATTCATTGGGGAAATACTCATGGGAAATTTTATTATTTTGTTTTATTTTGTAACGTGTAAAATTTTCTTTGAGTCTTAGAATCAAAAAGAATCCTAATGACAACAGAATTTCGTTGCGAGTTGGGGGGGGAAAGGGGNGGGAAGGGGCAGGGGGAAGGGGAAGGGGCTCACAATAAGTTTTACGAAACCAAGAAGTATAAAGCAGCTACAGTGGACTTCCGAAGCTAAAGTGGACTTTCGAATTCCGAACCACGTTGGGGAACGGAAATTGATTCGAAAAGTGAAGGGTTGCAACGATTTCACAGTTAGTTCGTCGCTAGTAAGAGGCACTGCGACAGAGACTTGTCCCGTCAAAGAACCCATGCCCGCTCGCGATCGAGCCTGGATTTCTACGCGTAGATCGGAAATCCCATGCGCTAATCATTAGACTACTGCGCCTCCTGTTCATTATGGTTTACTTTTAAAAACTTAATTTAAAATCACAAACCCAGTGATGCCAAAATAGCTCGTGACTTAAAGTTTGTAGCAATCGACGGACTTCATGTAAATTAATCACTGTGTTCAGTTTATTGTAACCAGATAGTGTACCTTACTGCTGGGTCGGACAATACATTCTCCCTGGTCCATTTCAGCTAAGAGCCTCTCTGCCTCCTTGAATGAGATGTTCTTGAAGGCAGGATGCACTATCACACGCTTCACGTATTCTGAAATACAAGTTAGTAATTACTGAATGATATAATTGTCAATAGGGAGCCCTTTTCACCCGAGTACCGAAAGTGATCCGCATTTGCTTTGGTTTGGAATTACTACACAGATTATCTTAAAAAATTCCCGCCAATTTGCCATCCAATCAGAAGTAGAACCAAAACCACTCGTGACTAGTTCCCACACGTCTTCCCGCGCTTGGCGTCAGCGACATGTACTTGCTTTGAGTTTTGATTGGTTCGCTGGATTGCTTTGGTTCAGGTTTCGCGACACTCAAATGAAAATCGCTCCATTATTCTCTTTGATATACTTACACGACAATCCGTTTTCCAAAGGGAAAACAAATGGTTTGTAAACAATACTTTTAAACGAATTATTTATTATCTTGCACAGGTAGCGGTTTTTTTTATCTAATCTAAGTCCGATAGCTTTGTCTCAGAGGTTTTCTTTTTAATCCTTTCCTGATGAATTTTGGACGCCCCCGTTTTTTTACGCTCCACTAGAAAAAAGAAAAAAAAAACACTCCTGGGGTCTGGGTATAACTCCAGCGTTTGGGATCCCAAATCGGATTTCTATCTTCGCCGTAGCAAAACAACTTAAGCCCTGTTCCAACAAGATTTTCGATTCGTTTGGCTCAAACTTCTCACTTGCTTTGAAGCATTTTATCCAGGCGCTACTCACTTGGTCTGTTAGCTTTCTTTTTCGCCGCTTCCTCGTCTTTCTTGTCATTGTCTGCCGCATCTTCATCGTAATACAAATCTTTGGGAAGACTGCAAGAACAGTTTAGAAAGGAAAATCAGACGGCATACAAATTCTGTTTCTCTCGCAGCTCAGAGCTCACTAAATTTCGGGTCTATTCCGACATCCTTTCAGTTTTGTTGGAAAAATACACTTCACTTGCCACCGAATTTTCCCTTAGCAAGCAGTGTAACACAATGAAAATGTTGATATATAGTAAGACTGTCGCACGTTTTGTCACGTAGATTACGTGACCGATCTAGAGAGGATCACGATCATCTTCACAGGTATTTCCTATACAAACATGTGTATAACAGTGTACCTGAACTTTCCTTCTTTATCAGCGAGATCAGATGAACGACACGTCAGGTCCAACTGAAACCGCTCCATGTTCACTCGTGTCACGCGACAGTGGAGAGTCATTCCAGCCTGAAACGAAACACCACAAAAAGATAAAGAATATCGCTTTGAAAACATGCAGAGGGAATGTTTTCTGTAGTTACCCTGACTCTCTCGTGAGGACTGCTGATATGTTTGTCGCTTATCATCTTGGTCGGAATGAACCCGGACAGGCCGCTTTCCAGTCTGGTACGAACACCCACCGCCTGACCAGCACAGCTCCCGTTATCAAGATGTGTCCACACCTACAAGCAAAAATACCACAGCTTGAAGCTTATGATTCACTAACATTAAGCAAAGGTCTCCGCCATTTGATTAGAATTCAACAGATCCAACTTCGATGCTGATTCTCCAACTCTTACCTCGCTCAGATCAGGGAAGTTATCCTGTAAACAGAACGGACACTGCCACTGGCCTGTCTCGTCATTTCTGACAGGTTGCGCCTGATCGATCATATCACGAGGAGGTTTTCTGTTAGCAAACCCAGTCACGGTACATATCACCATCCTGCCCACGTAAAGAGACTCATTGGTCTCTCCCGTTAGCAGTCTGAAGCGTTCCTCTACCGTCAGAGCACGGAACGGCGTGCGGCGTTCCCGGTACTGGCCAAACAGCTCGTCTCGGATGTCGTATAACGTGATCCGCTTGTTTCCAAAGCCCTGACGTTCCAGCTCTTCCGCAAACGCGTCTAAATCTAGGTCTTTTAACCTGTCGGGAGCCTCGAGAATTTCTTCCAAAGCGGATGATGGGTTCGATTCCATCGTCGCCTACGAGGATGCAGCAAAACAATTAATGACAACTTAATATTTTTTGTGAAAAGTTAATTGACCAACATGACACCTGCGTGGGACAAAGAGAAAAATCTGAGTCCCCGACAGGAATCGAACTCATGACCTCCCGAACACCGGCAGGTTCGATTCCTGTCGGGAACTCGGATTTTTTGTTTTTCCCACGTTCATGTCATGTTGGTCAATTTACTTTTCACATTTCATTCACGAGCTTAAAATTCACGATCTTTAATCATTTCATATTTTTTGTATCACTATGAATGAGTTCTGTCTCTCGATGAGTGAACTCAATTTTGCAAAACATTGCGAAACAAGTTGTACAGAATCTCAACTAGTGTGACAGTGCCTACACACCACTTTGAAGCACATTACTAAAAAGAAACGTTTCGAACCGAACTGCCAACCATTAAAAACAAAGTAATCTAAGCTAAGTGGCAATTTCATTACCTCATCGTATTCCAGCGCGTCGACGGCCATTTTCTTTGCCCATTCGTAGGTCTCCGGATGAACTCGTGAACCGTCGAGAACCTCGATATAGTTCGTTGTCGTGTCACTGATGGCTGCTGTGTCAATCTTAATGAAGCCTGCGCAGTTTAAAAACACCTGAGGACCCAGGCCACACACGGTCACGAGCTGGGAGCGGTTCTCCAGTCTGGTACACTGCTGACGTAGACTCTGAAAGCAACGAGTTTACAATGATAGAGGATAATTCCTGTTTCAAACACGTGGGTGCTTACCGTTTGTCAGAATAAACCGGTTGGGACGACCGTTGAATAATGGTAAGGGTTTTTCTAAAATCAGCAAACCAACCGAACGAGATGGCGCTTACCATTTGCAATTCGATTTCTCGTAATTGTTTTCGGCTGATGAGAGACTGGAAATTGGAAAGTTTAGCAAATGGTAAGGAAATTTCCATCGCTCCGTTCCGAATGGAAAAAGAGGACTACCTCTGGAGGTAGTCTACAATTTCCGAACGGATTTTCTGGAAAATTTCTGTTCCATTGACTTTCAACGAAATTTCCGAATTTTTTTGCTAAATAGTAAGCACCCGTGAATTCTCACAACTGAATAATGTATCCTGCTCTGCAATGACTGCAAAAGTTAAAAGGGAGGTTGTGAATGCGCCTGGTGACATATTGCCCGTATCAGGTTAACATTCAAATGGCCTGTACGATGCAATGGTGCAAAGTTCGACTTGGATCAATTGTAAAATACTGTAATGCAGGTCTTGGAGTTGCTCTTTATTTAGCAGGTAATTATTTTAGTATGTTGGAAAGAACTTGACATCTCTACTTAAAGTACCTTCAATAAAGATGACGCCTTCCTGGGTCCTAGTCCACACACAAACTGCAACAGCGCGACAGTGTGGGGATGCTCCAAAAGGCGGTTGGGGTCAACTCCTACGTCATTTACTACTGTCACGAATTCCTGATGAAGACTTTTGACGAGATGCTCTTTGGATACATGGTCCTGAAAGGTGAAGGAAGTCTTTCAACTTTCATCTCAGTACACACACGACACATATTACACATATTACACCCGAAACCCGAAAACTTAAAGCTGTGGTACAAAAAAAA